AGGAGCATTCTTACTACTAGTAACAAGAAGATTTCTTTGTGGTTTTGGCTCTGTGGAGTGAGAGTTTCCATGCTCACTTGGCGGCAACTAGGTATGGGGCTGGAAGTGGGAGAAGACTGGGACCTGGTATGGCCTTTTCAATGAGTGGCCGGCAGTCTCAGAAAACATCAGCAGCTCCACTTGCCCTGTCTGCGAGTCAGAGGTGCAAGCCTCACTCTATTTTGCCCATCCTTGACCCAACTATTGAATATATGATTTTTAGGTGTTTATGGCTTTGCTGGTTTTGATCATTGGCGTTATTTTTTGTATATAAGGCTAAGTGAAGTCAGTAGCCTTTTTAGTATAGACTTGGTCAAATGGTGTCCAATGATGTGCCTATCATCCGGTTTGGACTAGAACATTAAGAACCACAGGAAATGCACACAACAGACCAGTTTCATGGCGCCAGGTGCTCAGTGCCTTACAAAAGTGCTGGACAGGGCAGGCGAGGAGAGGGCTAGCGGGCGGTTCACTAAAGGCACCCAAAGGATTGAGTCGGCTTGTCCCTTGAGAGGATAGACTGACATCCACCAAATCCGCTCATTCCGGTTTTCAGCTGTGAAACCAATGATCACCGTGCTTTGTTGCAATACGTTCCTGCACATCGCTTGTAGGAGAAGGCCACAAAGGCACCAAGCATACACGGAATTTGGTTGGATGGCGAGCGGCTTCCCCGGAACACTTTTGTCATCGACCAAACTGAAGTGACGCTGGCGGGATAGCCCAGTCTGGGCAGGTTGGCTAATGACACAAGTTGAGTAGTAATTTTAGCATGTTGTAACTTTTGGAATGATTGGGAACGTGTTGACAGCAGGAAGCTTTGAGAATCTGTGGATGTGCAGTTGGCGAGTACGAATGCACCTTACTAGACTGTCACATGCAGGGTGTTGCTACAAGAATTCACGCAAATTGCTGGAGCCTATATGCTTGGTATTCTGTGTAGACATTCTTATAGACAAGGTTTTACACATATGATTCATATGATAACAGATTTGCATATATATATATATATATACAGACACTTGTACTACTCTGGAACCAAGCTAGACCTCCAAGGCCGTGAATGCAAGCCAGCTGTCAGGGAATGACCTGACAGCGCTGTGGGTGGCTTTGAGCTCAGAGTGGCGCTTTGCCGTTCGACGACACACGGAGTGATGTGCTGAGGTCACAGAAGAAATTGTGTCAGACGCAGTGGGCGGTGCGTTTGAAGCGACGAACCCTTTGCTTGACAATTTGCAGCCTGGAGCATCTAACTTGAATTTCAAAACATTCACAGATGGTTCAATCTACAATCTGCGGATTCTCAATCTGATTGTTGTAACGAGGTTCCCGGGGAGCCCAGAGATCAGCAGTGGTGTGGGTCTCTCCGTTCAGTTCAACACCACAACCCTGACAATGGGTGCGCTGCATAGCACAAAGTGCTCAATGTTTGGCTTCGCTGCATGATTCACGTGCTGAGAGTGCTGATAGCGTTCAGAACCGACCAACACCAGCTGTCAGCACCATATTGCCTGCTTGATTGAGGCTATTCAGCTACTGCTTGTTTCTGCAAAGAAATAAGTTGTCGCACTTGTCGCAATCAACATCAGGTGCAAACTACCGCCTCTATGTTTTTGTACGTGAGAACCCAGAATCATGCGGTGTTTCTTGGCTTGACAGTATCACAAGTTTGTTTGGCCTTGAACGTTTCCTCGATGTGCTTCTGTCATTGTAAAGTATCAGTTTAACATGTTGCAGGTTCTTTTCAGATCTTTTGAACAAGCCATACGTTTGTTACGAGTACAGTCGTTGGACCGGAGTGGACAAGGTGATGTTGTCCATTTGCGCGTTTGTTGCGCTTGTTGCAGGCTCAATGTCCCAACCACGAAGCATATGCCTCCTTGGCCTTTCGCATTGGATCCTTGGCAGTTTCAGAGGGCTTTCAGAGGGCTTTCACTCACGAGAACTCACCAGTTTGGCCGGCTTAGGTCACAATGCGTTGCCGGGGGAGCAGTGCTACAGTCTGGTGAGCTATGCGATGGAAAAGGACCTCGAAGCGAATCCGGGAAGGCACAAGAGTTGAACACTTGTTTGTGCCAGCTATCAAATTTGATCTTAGCATCGTTCTCACTTTCTTTAACTTTTGTTCCATTTCTTTTGTTCTCACTTCTGAATGTTGCTGCTATTTATTTCTTTGGTTCATGACAGTAACTTTGATAAATTTGGACTCTCCGTAAGGTATCCAGGTGCCAGTTCGACCTCAACCTTTTCCGAGGCTGGCACTTGCCACGCTGATTACTGGTCCAATCTATTTGAGTAATGCACGAGACAGATGAACTCGAAGCTCTTGCCCTCAAGCTGCGAGGTTCAGATGTCTTTGGCACAGACACAGCAAGGGAGGTGTCAGTTTCCATGTGATCTTCCCATTTGGTGTCACACCACCCAACCTGGAGAGGCGGGGAGATTGATTGCCAAGTTGAGGAGAGACGCGTAGATGTCAAGTTGGCGGATTGCACAGGCATGCTATGACTTTATACAATGGGTGTTGCAGAACAACAACACGCAAGATGCACCGGAGGCCGCATCGATGAGGGTTGAAAGAATATCCCAGATCTTGATAATTTCCATTTTCATTTTCATTCGCTATTGATCCAACATTCCGCAATCGTTTTACTTTCTCAATGTAGCAAACACAACAGACACCTCAGCTCCCACCAACAGAAGGGTTTGAACTGAGAACGCAACTCCAGAACATCACCCGATGTAGCCATGAAATCACTGGAAAACATTTTTTGGGTTAAAAACACGCTCACCTCAGTATAGTACTCTTGGCTTTCACACTTGCAGTTTTGACACTTGTATCTCCAAAACAACTTTGCGAGGCGCTTCATGAGAAGAAAAGCATCAAAGGTGTGCAGCTGGCAGTGCACGAGTCCATGCCAGGGCCAGGGCACCTGTGAGCTTTATGCCGTCAATGTCATGATTTTCCGCAGTTAGTCATATTTATGTACAGCACGATTAGAATTGTAAAACATAGCGGACAAATCCTTTGGAGCAGGAACAGGGTTCCCAGCAAACTTTGGAGTACACAGGACGTATATTATTCATCACAAGCTTAGCACATAGACAGATTTTCCTTTTGTTTATGGTTTCCAAGTACACTTTTAGTAGTCGTCACTTTGGCGTGATAATTTCTTTTGCGTCATAACAATTGACAAGTATGCAACAAGCATGAAATGATGTCTACAAAATAAGCAAAGCACACTATTTATATATACACAAAAAGGCACGATCGTATTATGAGATATATAGAACATGTCGAGGCGAAGTTTGTGAAGAGTGACTGTAGGCTTTTGGCATTCAAAGCTTTTTCAGAACTCAAGCTATTATTTTCGATTGAGTCAAGTCATGAACTTTTGAGTTTTGTTTTTCATTTACTGTATTTTTGCGAATGGCACGTTCGGAGTTCTCAGGATCTGCCCACGCCCATGCGAGGGTACAGGCCTCCAATGTGAGCCCAACTGCGAGGATACAGGCGACACAGGCGCGCGCGCCGCTTGGAACGGGGGCAGTTCTGAGGGGTATTTGGGGTCTACGTGAAAGAGAGAGAGAGAGAGAGAAAGAGAGAAAGAGAGAAAGAGAGAAAGAGAGAGATGAGCGCCACACGTGTCGGGATATCTTCGCCACTTGGAGCTGAAAAAGAAGAGGAGATAGCTTCTGTAGCGTCCTTGCTCCTAGTAGCGATGCCAGGAGCCCCTAGCAGCTTCTGTTCTGAGAAACATGTTTCCAACATGACACATCAATGTGAGTGACCCCACAAACGCCATGAAGACCTGTGTGAGAGAGATGCAAACGCGCATGAATTTGACAGTATTCCAATCTGAGCTGACGGACTGTGGCTCACTTGACGCTACATTAATCTAATCCACATGCAAATTTGCAAGTATTTCAAGGAGCAATCAATTTTCTGGCTAGTCTCAAGATATCACAATGAAGCTGAAGACTCACTGTCGCTGAGCTCCGGGCAAGGCCCTGAAGAGATCGGAAAGGAGGTTAACGGTGCCAAGTTGATGCATCTGTCATCTCTTTCGCTTTTAGCTCTTGCAGTGGCCCGGTGGGCCACCGGAGGTATTTAAAGCATCTAAATCGACAGTCTAGGCAAGTCTTGAGAGCTGCGTCTTGAGAGCTGCTTTCAATCCCAATTAGACCCAAAAGCAAAGACTCTTCAAAGCTGCCAGTTTTGGATGCTGCAGACCACACACCTGTTGATGGTTTTAGAGTTTGGACGAGACTAGTCGGCTGTGGGTCATCCCGAATGACCCACTCAGCCACAGCATTGTCCAATGTGCAAACGCACAACACGTGCGCCCAAACGAGCGAATTCGTTCTTTTGCAGGACTTATCATGTCCTGTATACAATGGATGCCTTCTTTGATGGCACAAGCATTTTTCGTCTTGATTTTGGATCATTGGTGACGCCAACGTGTGTCATAGACTGCACCGGCAGCACGCGCTGTTGGGGCCCAAGACAGGCCATACGCAGCATTTTTGGGAGCTTTTCCGAGAAGCCATTAGGCAGGGATGCCCAACCCTGATAGACATATTTGCTTCAATACTGAGGCTATTCTACTTTACTGTACTTGTTTCTTTCCGAGATGTTGTGGCACATCTGGCAACCTTGCTGATCTTGCCCCAAGCTGCTCTTGGTGAATGCATTCCTAGATCCTTCTGCATGATTTCGTTGCAGGATGTCTGTAAATGGCGCCCAGCAGTCAGACAACTCAAGTGACTCAAAAAGCCGCATTGCTGCAATGACCCATAGCTATTCAACCAAAGTGTTTAAGCTTCTGTAAAATGCTTTAACCGCCCAGCAGTTGCTGTGGAGTGAGGGGGTTGCTGTTCCTTTTACCCTTTGAGTCTCTTTGGGCATGTTACTGTCAAGTCATATGCCCAGTGCAAGTAAGATGACATGCACGTGACAGGCTACTGCTGTGCCTCTCTGGCTTTGCCACGTACTCATTGGTCTTTGGCCTGAGCTTTTGTGTCTACACCACCAATAGTGCTACGTATGTGTTTGTGCTATGGGCGAGAAACGACCAGAATGGCTCCAGGATGGGTCTCCTGGGTCTTGCCAATCGTCAATTAAACAAATATCTCAGGCAAAATTTAGATAGCACATATCTAGTATTTTGATGTCTTGCTAGCATTTCCTTTTTATGGCAAGCCTTTAAAAGCGCAATTCGCCACCTACCTTAGAGAGGGTTTGTCCGATCTTGGCCAAGCAAAACTTTTCAATCGACGATTGAGCGAACAACCTGACATGCAGGGCACACATTCACTTGTGCCTGAGGACATGTTTGTACTTTTTGCTTTCACCTGTGTGCAACTCTTTTGAAACTTTCCAACTTTCCACACAGTTTAGTTGCACTTCCTTACTTTGTTCCCTATCGGTATCACACTACAAAGAGTGTTGGCTGGCATGCCGATAATAGGCTTGGTTGACCAGCCAGCAGTACTTGGGAACCCTCAAACCAAGGCTGATGCGAGACGTGAGAAGCTGTGAAACAGCGAGAAGTCTCCCTCTGGAGAAGTTGCTTCAGAGAGAAAATGCCGGCAGATCTCCATATCTGATCATGTTTGCGCAAGTCTTGGTTGACGGATGTTTTTCTGAATAGCACTTCAATGATTGGAATGCACTCAGAGGAGAATCATGGACCTGCCTTTTGAGGGAAGAAACGAGGATGCCTGTCACGCTTGTGGATTGGTGTTTATGTCTATAATTACAAAATAGAAAGGGATTCTTTGATGCGCCCTGGCATGCTCAAGCTTACTACTGTTGTCATGTCATCAGCGCTCATCAAGCAGTAGAACTGTAGTGAAATGTGGTGATGCATGGTGGTGGAAGGCTTATTGAATGCTTCATACGCCGCGGCAAGAAACAGCCGCTTCATGCTCGCTAGGCAGTTCACGGCGAACATCTGCCTCAGCTAGGAAGTTGGCAAACAGGATCTTTAGTGGAGCGAACTGTCTTGACGCCATGGCACGGAGCAATGCAGTTGGAGACAGTACCCGTAGATGACATTGCTGAAGAAGTTGATGCTGCGGCCCAGGACTGTCGCATCGCCGCATCGCGCTTTCGTGTTTCTTTTTTTTTTTTTAAATACAACATGATGCTTGCAGTGTGCTTACAGCAATTCAGGCTCTACATCTTGATGCGGTATACCGTATTCCGTATACCCACTTACTCCTTTCTACTTTGATTTGCACGAGAACCAGCATTTGGCGCAAGGATCGTGAGCAGCTTAGACAGGCTCGTGCCTTGGAGGCACGATGGCGCTGGGAATCTCTTCTGGAGGACGGGTTGAAGTTGAAGTGTTCACTTTGTTCTCTATTCACTTATGTTTTCTATGCTAAATTCTTGTTCCAAAATCGCCCAGCCGTTTGTTTGCTTGCCGTTTGCAGTTCTTCGTTCTAAGACCTCCATGTTTTCAGCAACGCATCAGCCTTTACACATGAGGTCCACACCATCATCCTCAATGTCCGATGTCACGTTGGAATACAGTTGAAAAGGCGTAGAAAGAGGAGTTTGAAATTAATTCCTCCAGGTTTAACACTTTAGGTACTAGGTCTTCCACAGGTATTTGTCTGTATCAAAGGAAAGAAACAAAGGCTAGCCCTCCTTAAGGCAACAAAGGAAACGAACAAAGGCTAGCCTGGCAGAACCACGCAGTCCCGCGGCCTCGCTTTGGGAAGGACAACGCACACACACACACACACCCACACTAACATAATTAACTCCTGGTTTAATTCTTTTCTAGCACGTCTTCAAGCCAGATTTCTGAAAAGACACCTTCCAAAAAGGATTAAAGCAGAAGTTAATTCCACACATCCCACACCATATCATAACCATATCATACAATTCACTCCTGATTTAATTCTTCTACGAAGGGACACCAGAAAATCAGCTACTAGAAAGAATAACTTAATTCTTTTGAACTCCTGTTCTCACACTCTTCCAATACAGTTCTGCTTCCTGCCTTTGTGCAAGAACATCCTCACAATTGTCAGGTTTGAGTATTTTGTGGACATCATTGTTTAGGAGTTTGATGACACATTGTTGGCAGGACGCGCCACCTGCTCAGCTCGAGGAGAAACCTGCCTCAATCGCCCCACCAGCAGAGCAGCTGCGAGAGGCATCCCAGGCACATGCCCCAATGTTGGAGACATCATCAGCATTTCACAACTTTTTCCTTAAGCCTTATGGCTTGAGGAAGACAGAAAGTCCTTTGTATTGCCTCTGTATGAGATGTTTTTCCTGAAACGCAGTTGTTGTCCTCGCTTTCCTTCAATGCTATCTTGTCAAGGGAGTGCAGGCACGCCGCGGCGTGATCCGCTTCCTCTATCTTGTGGTTGACCTTGCCGAGGCCAGGCCCTGGCCGCCAGGGACAGTTGCAAGTTGTATCTTGCGTGTTCGTTGCCTTTTGATGGATGGAAGCAATGGCCTCCAACCTAATAGCAATGGCCTCCAACCGAAGGTGATATATGATATAATGTAAAAACAAGTGCAGAACAGCTCGTAGGCCGCGCTCCGTGAGCGGCGCTGGGAGCTCCTGGTGCAGCAAAGCAGCCAGTTTGCTGAACGCTTTGTCACCGAGAACCCGCAGCTTCGTCACTGAGGGGAATGGTCGGAATGGCCTAATCGTTATATGTGTCGAGCCTTTGGTATTTAGTACTGTTTTCAGTGCGGCTACAAAGCACGGACATTCAAGACATTTGTGCTTCTCATGTGTGAATAGGTCAGAAGCGGCCCCAAGATGCAGTTGTCAAAGACTCTCAGTTGTAAGGCTCTCGGAGTTGGGACTTCTAGCCTTGCGTGATGCCAGCTGTGAGGCCTGTAGAGTTCACAGTGCCAGAACCTACTGCATCGAAATTGAACACATCCCAGTCATTTGTGGTTCTTTGCAGTGGCTTAGCCCGTTGCTGCAACAGTTGACATTGAAGGATTTGCGAGTGATGCTGAATAGGTCTTAGGCCTTTTGATAGAAGACCTTTTTTGCTCGGTTGTGAAGACTCTTCCTCAAACTGGAGGCTTTGGCACCGCTTGGGACGGCTTTCACTGCAGCCAAGCTGAATGCCATAGCAAAGGAGGCATGGAGCTTTGCGGAAGACTGGACTAAGAACGGGTCTATTGTGATCGATGCGTTCCTGGGACACGATCCCGCCGATCACTGTGGCATATGCAGTAGTTTCTATGTCATTTCCAAAGGAGGCTTTGCCGCATTTACTGCCTGTCGATTTGATTTGAATGATAATTACATACATACTCCGATTAGATATTGTTTCTTCACGATAGCTTGAATTTAGATGCGAGAGGTTCATGCAGCTTTGCGGACAAGAAAAAGCAATTCCAGGACAAAATCGGTCTTCGTTTTAGTGAAGCCCCTCCCCGACTCCCCGTTGCACTAGGCGAAGGGCCGCTGTTGCGCTGTTGCCGCCTTGCAGCGAGCCCTTCAGGGGCTTCAAGACGTACCTTCGTATGGCGTGCGTGAGGTGCTGGTTCGGAGCCCAGCTTCGAGGTGATAAAACATCTAAAGAAAATCTTCAACATCTAGAGAACATAGATACACTGATATACAATGATACACAATGTATCACAATGTATCACACTGTCACTGTGCTTTAAGAACAAGGGTAGATACTTTCGGGCTGTTGGCCATATTTTTGGGGAACACACTGAACTCGGAGCCATTTGCCTAGGTCGGCGACCAGTGTTGTGTAGGCTCATTGATTGCAGACAGAACCTGGCAATACAAGCTTGGTGTGCGTCTTGTTAGACGAGCACTAGTGACAAAGGGCATCGCTACTAGGAGCAAGAAGCTACTAGGTGGAAGTTCACACATCGGCTCCTTGATCGACTGCTCTCGAAGTAATTATGGATGCAATCTTGAAAAACAAGGGACGTCTGATACGCTGCCCTGCAACTCGTTTTTGGGGTTGTTTTCTTGTCTGTTGATTTGTGTTGGCATTTACAATAGTTTTGTTTTAGCAGTGTCTTTGCCGGTGCATTAAATTATATACCCACGTTTTCCCAAGGAAGATGCTTGTGTCGAGCGTTTCGCTAAGAAGTGTGAGAGAACAGTTCGGAACGGTGTTCTTGAAAGTCTGATGATAAGTGATCTGCGGTCATCCAAAAGTTCAGCCCAAAGTTCTTTCGTTGATAATTGTTCAACTCAACACAGACTTTTTTCACTTAAACAACCTGCAGAAAAGTGCTCTTCCTTCGACTTGAAGGTCATTATGGTACTTACAGTAGACTTGGATGTTGCATAGAAGCAAATGTGATTGAAAGAAGTACGTTGTAATACACAAAGTAAAACACAGTGAGGTACGTATAACCGTATAACTGCATCCCCACCCCACCCCACCCCACCCGACAACCGAACCACGACGTACGTGACAGGCGCAAGGGCGGCGTATCAGCTGCGAACCTAATACATACAACAACAAGTTATTAAGGCAGAGTCCTGCTGCAGTAGCTTCCGCGCCCATGGCAAAAGATCACGAAGTGACCAGCATGTTCTTCTTTAAGGCAAAGCCGAAGGTCAAGATTGCTCACACTCTGACATTGGTTTGCAGTTAACTCAATTCCCAGGAAAAAT